AATCATCACCACTATCGACAGACCATCTTTCTCCTTGTCTATAATCTTCCAATCGACTCCTCCTGTAGCAAATCTAAAGAAGAACCTGGGTGTGACATCAACATCGACGTACACAAAGAACAGAGCTGTGCTACAAAGCCAAACTGTTGGTGATGCTGAAATACGGGTCCTATCCATGAATACACTCAACCAGGTGAAAGGAACAATAGCTTAAAAACAAACACATTCAGGCATTCAGTTCAACTACTTACTGTTAACATGAGGATGGAGAGATCAGCTGTAGCTGACACAGGAGTATTTGCATGGATGGCAGACAGAAAGCAACTCAAACATTGATAGTGACAGACTCAATGAGCATGCTTAAGAAGATCCAAGCTGGCAAACTGACTAGAATTGGTTGACAGCATCTAGAAGTTCTAGCTTATGAAAGAAGCCAGTCATGTTGAGTAAACCACCAGAAATGTTGCAAGTCAGTAATCTGTGCATAAGGTGCTTACCTTCAAAGACCTCCGGTGCCATCCAGGCAGCACTGCCCTTGTTGTTGGTCATGTGTGTCTGAACATCACAAGCGGTGCCAAAATCACAGATCTTAAGAACAGTTCCTCCCATGATTAGCAACAAGCTGTTGAAACAGAAAGTATATTTCAAAACTCCAGTGACAGGTCCCAAATCTGATTCCTAAGTATCACTATGACTATCCTCTGCCAACCATTACTTTCTAGTGGCAACCATGACTTTTAATGGGTTCACCATGACTACAATGAGTCCACAAGGACTATCATCTGCCAACCATTACTTTCTAGTGGCAACCATGACTTTTGATGGGTTCACCATGACTTGGTGGTTGTACTTATGTTTAGATGTCTTAATGATGGTGTCAGCTGGAATCTTCTTTATAATCCCCGACCAATTCTGCCATCCTCTAAGAACATTCTTGCTAGATATTTAAATTTTTTAACTTGCTCCAGACAAATACCATTCAACACTACACGTAGCGGAAAAGGAATTCTGCCGATCTGCATTATTTCTTTATAAACGAGTGGTATTTCTCTGTTGAATAAATGCGTAAAGTTCTATGGGAGTCGCCGTGGCGGAGCAGCTAGACGCTCACGGATTGGAAGGCCATGGTTTCGCTCCCTGGCAGAGCTGGATTATTTTTTTAAATGACCTTGGCTCCCAGGTCGACACAGCCTTGAGTGGATATTGGGTGCAGTCCCGGGAAGTAAATTCGGCCGGCGTGATGCTAACCACATCACTCTTCTTGTGCTGATTGGTCTAAAAGATATAGGTCTAGCTCTATATGCCTAAATGTGTGGAAAAGGGTCCTTTACTTAGTTTACTGTAATCTTCTATACAGATAAGTAACATTTCTCTAAACATGTGTAATGTTCTATACAGATAAGTAACATTTCTCTAAACATGTGTAATGTTCTATACAGATAAGTAACATTTCCTTAACATGTGTAATGTTCTATACAGATAAGTAACATTTCTCTAAACATGTGTAATGTTCTATACAGATAAGTAACATTTCTCTAAACATGTGTAATGTTCTATACAGATAAGTAACATTTCTCTAAACATGTGTAATGTTCTATACAGATAAGTAACATTTCTCTAAACATGTGTAATGTTCTATACAGATAAGTAACATTTCTCTAAACATGTGTAATGTTCTATACAGATAAGTAACATTTCTCTAAAAATGTGTAATCTTCTATACAGATAAGTAACATTTCTCTAAAAATGTGTAATGTTCTATACAGATAAGTAACATTTCTCTAAAAATGTGTAATGTTCTATACAGATAAGTAACATTTCTCTAAAAATGTGTAATCTTCTTTACAGATAAGTAACATTTCTCTAAAAATGTGTAATGTTCTATACAGATAAGTAACATTTTCTCCATTCCACAAATGTGTAATGTTCTATACAGATAAGTAACATTTCTCTAAAAATGTGTAATCTTCTATACAGATAAGTGACATTTCTCTAAAAATGTGTAATCTTCTATACAGATAAGTGACATTTCTCTAAAAATGTGTAATCTTCTATACAGATAAGTGACATTTCTCTAAAAATGTTTTTTGTTCTATACAGATAAGTAACATTTCTCTAAAAATGTGTAATGTTCTATACAGATAAGTGGCATTTTCTCCATTCCAGAAATGTGTAATATTTTATACAGATAGGTGGCATTTTCTCTATTCCACAAATGTGTAATGTTCTATACAGATAAGTGGCATTTTCTCTATTCCACAAATGTGTAAAGTTTTATACAGATAAGTGGCATTTTCTCCATTCCACAAATGTGTAAAGTTGTATACAGATAGGTGGCATTTCTCTATTCAACAGAAGTGTGATGTTCTCTACAGATGAGTGACCTTTCTCTATTCAACAAATGTGTGATATTATATACAGATGAGTGGCATTTCTCTCTTAACAACTCTAAATTTATGAAAAAGAACATTTCTGAACTTACTTGGGTGGTTTCAGATCACGATGAACTAATGCCTTTGGTTTCATGTTGTGTAAATATTCCACTCCCTTAGCGCACTGCAGACACCAACTCAAAGCATGGGCTGCTGTATAGTTGGGTTGCTGGCCTGATCCATGTAGCACTGGTGATACAGAGACACAACACTGTCAGTATCTCACCACTGTAACAGGCAATAACAGACTGAACCATGTCCCACTGTAACAGGCAATAACAGACTGAACCATGTCCTAATAGTTTCCCACTGAATACTGCATTCATAAACCCACTCAATATTTCATTTATAAACATGAGACATTTACAAGTTTCCCATTCAATGCATCATTTATAACTATGAGATGTATACAAAAGTTTTCCATTTTGTATATGATCTATAACTATGAGACATGTACAAAAGTTTCAAATTCAGTATTTCATCTATAACTACATGTTCGAAAGTTTCCCATTCAAAATAGCATTTATAACAATGAGACACAAATTAAGATTCCCCATTCAATATATCATATATAACTATGAGACACCACAAAAGTTTAACACTCAATATATAACTATGAGACACATACAAAAGTTTTCCATTCAATATATCATTTATAACTATGAGACCCATATAAAAGTTTCCCATTCAATATATCAATTATAACTATGAGACTTGTATGAAGGTTTCACTCTCAATATATCATTTATAAACACAAAACGCATCCAAAGGTTTCTCACTCTATATATCATTTATAATTATGAGAGGCGTGCAGATTTATTCAGCGCATTTTCATTAAATTGCTGATTATTTATTAAGTTAGTAAATAGTTACTGACTTAGTCATTTGTTCTTGACCTGATCTAGCTGATTAAGAACTTATTAGTTTGTTTGCAATGTTGATTATTGTGTGGTAATATTCTTTGAATCTACAGTTACTTGCAGTAATAACTAATCTGAGTGTGTATTAGTAACCTGATAGCAAGGGTCTATAATTAATAAGTTAATTTGAACTTAGAAACACTGATTACTAAGGTAGACATAGCCAAATCCCATATAGAAATGAAAGACAGGTTCAGCAGAAACAGAATAGTAAAGGTTAATAGTTATATATGAGAAATATTTATAAATCAATGACTTCAACAAATTCCATAAAAATAATCTGAGTGACTGGGTAGAAGACACCCAATTTGAATGGTTATTTTCCACTGAATGCTTAATGTGAAAATTGGACTTTGAGTCACGTCAATATTTGAACTTCCACATTAAATTAGGGGTGTCTTGAGGTTTTGTTCTTTTGTATAGACTGGGGACTGGAGAACAGATATGGATATCTGCAGAGCTAATTATGGTCTTCAGCATTAAATTAGGAGTGTCTTTGGGTGTTGATTCCATTTAGCCAGGGCTATTTGGCTAAGTCTATCCAGGAACAAAAATGACAAAAATGTGGACAAGGGCATGAAGCCACGAACCCCAGCAAAGAAAGATCATTAATACAATACATCTGGCAGTGATCCGCGGGTCACTTGCTAAGTCACTGCAGGTCAGAGTTAGCCCTCAGGCCACCAGTTAAATAGCCATGTATTAAGCTATGGTGTAGTTACTGAAAAAAAAAAAATGGATAAAGTACAACTGGAATCATGTATTGTAGCGATTTTCTTAGCTTTCCTCACTACATGCTTCTTAGGTACAGAGATAGTACAGATACTTGAATATCTTGGATAAACATGTTGAAACACAGCTGATCGACACGATAATGTTTATTCCTTCCAACACTTGTTTCCTGCCAATGTACAAAGGAACTTGTCTAGGAAGCGACTGAAATTTAGCCCTTGTAACATTCTAAACCCAATTGTTTATACCTTTACAAGAAGCCAGTTCTCAACACTCCCAAGAAATATAGGACACATCAGGTTTTCATTCGATCACAGCTGCATCCAACACACATCAGCCTTGATGAATGTTGGACCGACTGACTGGCCAGGTTTTCATGGAATTTGCATTTAACCGTAGGACAGACACTGGATGATTCATTTATTCATGCTTGTCACCATCAGACATGCAGTTCCAACTCCGAAAACAAGACTGATCATTCTTGCTAATTCTAGGCTTAATTATTCTTTCTCTTCCTCATGTTTTCAAACATTAAATGCACGCAATCCGTGATCTTTGTCCTTTAGCATGCTTTCCCGATTTGTTTGCTTGTCTACATTCTTCATGCACCATATTTTGTATTCGATTCCATTCATCCGAGCTTGAGTACATAATTTATGTTCTGTATCTAACCTTACTACCAATGCAAACATTTATTATCAAGGAGAAAATGACTCTTTACATTCTTCCCCTAAACAAAATTTTAAAAAAGTTTTACTTTTATATATATGGGTATTACTAAAACATTTATGACTTGGCTGATAATGTGCCAAGTTATTAACTTGAAAATTCTTGATCATAAGGATTCATTTTCGACATTTTCATTACTAAACCTTTTTTTTATACCTTACTGCATTGAGTTTACACATCAATCAATTCAAACTGTCATCGGTTAGGGTTTCCTATGACTGAAAATACTCTGATGGGATCCTTACCCCAGGAACTCCCAATTTAGTGCAGAAGACCAAAATAGTCTTAAAGTTGGTATCCCACTGAGCAACACTTCTGGCACTCCTGATTAAGTGTGGAAGTCCAAAAATGTTGGGTCTAAAACCAAAGTGTGACCCCATGAAGTCCTACCCTCGTTATTCATATTCATGGAAATACCCACAATGGCCAAATTAACTGGCTATGATTATATTCCCAACCATGTAGGCTTTACCAGTCGGTTAATAGACTTGGACTTTTCTTCTGACATTTACAATCTAATATGTCTTATTAGCACAAATATTTAAACTTAGTTTTACACAAATAGATAAATTAATGGTACACAATTCTATCTTTGAATAGCATTTTCGGGTTTGGTTTATCCCCCCTCCTCCCCTCTCTCCCCATTAAAATAGCATATATATGACATTCATTTACATATATCATTGCATTTGATCAATTTTTAACAGAATTTTATAAACGTGACATAATGTTGGGCAGATGACTGTTGGTTTCTTCTATATGTTAATTTAAATTGGGAAATTAAAAGAGCCCATCTATATACTCATGGATCACTGATTTACTGATTTAAGAATTGACATCATAGCACACCGGGCATACCCATAGATGCTCCATCTTCCACAGCAAATGACGTAAGGTGTAGATGCTAACTGTTCCCGTAGCACACTGATTAAACACACGCTGATCTCTTCCTCTTATCCGTCCCTCCTTGCCGGATCCACACTTAATTCCTCATTCACACATTCTTGCCCATATTTTTTCATCTAATCTCGTGTCTTCTGCCACAAGTCGTTCACATATGGTCTTTAGAATATCTCCCTTGTCTAATACGAGTGTTAACGTAGCTTTCGCTTTTGTAGCCAGAAAATCCGCTCTTTCATTCCCTCACACTCCTGCATGCCCCAGACAGTATATCGACATGATTCCCTGCAATGTTGGCATATTGATGCATGGTATCCACTCATGTCACATTTGTACATTCTGAACCTTCCGCAATGCCGACTGAGAATCTGACATAATAATTCCTCTGGTAACTTTGTTTTCTGCAGTCTACTTCAGAGCTGCAGTGATTGCCTCTTCCATTCTCATGCTTAAAGTTGTAGATAAAAAAGCTCTGTTTTGTTCTTGGATTACTATTTGCATCTATTGTAAGTAGTTTAAAACAACACCCTGTGACAAACAGAGAAATTTAAGTATTTGGGAGCAATTTTTACATCCGACGCAAAATGGACAGAGAAATTAGCTCCAGATGTGCCAAAGCTAATCAAGTAATGGGTCAACTATCTCCCCTGTTGACACACAAGCAGACACCTCGGAGTACTAAAGTGAATCTTTTCAGAACTATTTTTTGACCAACACTATGCTATCAATGCCAAACGTGGACACTTACATCCTCCAATGAAAGTAAAATTGTGACAACAGAGATGAAATGCCTTAGAAGAGCTGCAGGAGTTTCAAGGAAAGACAGAATACGAAATCATGAAATCAGACGAATGCTAGGAATAAAGCCAGTCTTACAGGTCATCAAAGAACAACAAATGAAGTGGTTTGGACACCTAACAAGAATGCCCTGGTACTATCCACCACAGCGAGCCACACTAAATTGTTACAAAGGGTATAGAGCGAGTGGAAGACCTTGGAAAATATGGAGTGATGGCATTAGGAACAGCCTTACAGAAATGAACATCAGTCTTAATAGTGCTCTTGACAGAGCTCATCAATGAACATTACATCTCCCCCCGACACTTCGATGAGGTAAAAGGTGGAAGAGAAGAAGAAGAAGAAGTAAGTAGTTTAATTAATACCAGGTTATTGGTCTATATGGTAAATTCCTTTCTTAATAAAAACTTTAAAAATTTTTAAAGACTACATTACAGGAAGTAATGAGTGTAAGTGTTCTTATGCAAGCATACTAGCTATTGTGTGTCCGATGGTATCTGATTGTAAAAGAATCTTTTGGAAGGGTCTGGTTGTCTCAAGATTTGGTACTTTGAAAAACAAGTTTTAATTTTTAATAAAATTTCATCATAGGTGTTGTTTCTTCAAGAGTTCTGACAGTGGTGATGTCAGGGCAGCATGGTTTGCAATAATTGACCACAGTAATTTATCAGACCTAGTATAGACTGGAGTTTTTTTTGTTCTTTGGTTTTTAGATTTTAAAAATCTTGGAAACAATAGTTTCATTAGTTTGAATCACTCCTTCACAAATTACAAACAGAACCTAAATAATCAATCCCGGTGTATCGGATTTCAATTTTTAGTAGGTTGACTGTTAGTGATGATTGTTTATCTATCCTTTCATTCTTCACTCACATATCATTTTCTTTCAGCTTAAGTGATGTTTGTTATGTTTTGTTCACACACTGCACTGTCATTCATCTCTTGTACACTCATTACTTCTTTCATACACTCTTTCTCACACACTGTGCTATCACTTCTATGATGTTAATTCTTTTCTGTGATCATTACATCATTCATTTATATGTGACTCATTAGCTGTCCAATGTCTGTGAACAAGTCAGTTTTATTGTCCAATGTCTGTGAACAAGT